TATTTCGCGGAAAAAAATTTTAGCCTTTTATTTATCATCAAATCAATTATTTTTACTAGGAAATGAGAAGATTGCCTAATCTTGCAAGCAAAGTTTTAATTAGTCCTTACTTTCCTTTTTCTAATGTATTTCTAGTTATTTTTTCTGTCGCTTTCAAACATTTCATACAATTAGAAAGAATAAAGATTGCTTATTAGTATTTTTTGTTACAAGTCATTTTTTGTAGATGTACATTTGTTTTGTAAACTGTATGGAGATATTTATAAACAAACTTTATTAAGTAATAAAAGTTTATTTAAATTGACTTTTAAATTTATTTCTCAAAGAGAATGATTATAGAAAAACTTGCAATAATTTTACTTTTTATTAACAATTCATTTTATTTCCAAAAGCATGTAATTTTTTCCCTTAATTAACTATAAAATGTAATTATTAAAATATCGTATATTTATAAAAAAATTTACAAAAAAAGATTTATTTTTAATATTTAATATAAAAGATTAATAAAATCCTCTTAAATATAATTTTGAATCTTGTATTATTTATAACAATAAATTGTTATGATAATTGTTATAACAATAGTTATAGGAATAGGTAATTGTTTCATATAATTTATAATTTATAATTATATTTGTTATTAACTAATAAACTAATAAATTTGACTAACACAGCCAACACAATCTTCATTCTTTCCTAAATATCATAATTTTTCAATGACAATTTCAATATTCAATTTCAACAGCAAACTTTTTATATTTGCGCGACAAGGAAGATGTCCTGAGGAACATCCTGAAAGCTGGATGTAACAATCTTGCTGGATCCTGTTTATGTTGCTGCCAGGTCAACTCTGTTGCATGCAACAAATGAATACGAATTTTATTATAAATAAAAGAATGTTGAATTTTTACCGAAATTGCAGATTAATTATAAAAAATTAATTTCAATTTCGGTAAATAGCTTTGTCAATTAAAAATATTAAAATTGCTATAGAATTATTAATAAGGCGCACCTATTTCTATTTATTATTTTTATTGTTCTATAATTAGATTCTATTATCTTATATGCTTCAAAAAAATATATACAAATATACAAAAAATATCTACAATTAGATTAATTATCAATACTTACATATATATGTTGTGTACATATATATATATATATATATATATACACATACCCATATATATGTATATACAAGATAATCCCATTTTAAATAATGCATTAAGATTTCTCGAAAAAATGGTAGATACGGAAAAATGTTTTAAATAAAAGTTGTATAGTTCGGAGACATAAGAAGGTACCATTGATTTAACCTTAAGTTTTAACACCAGCTATTAGATTCTGCCATCAAAAATAGGGTTTTCCATTAAAAAAAATCGATATGATCTTGACCTAATCTTGACGATCCAAGATCAAATTAATGGTACCTTTTTATCTCCCTCCGAACTATACAACTTTTATTTAAAACATTTTTCCGAATTTACCAGTAGTTTTCGAGAAATTTTAATTAAAATGGAACATCCTATATATTTTGTGTGTGTGTGTGTGTGTGTGTGTATGTGTGTGTGTGTACATTAATTTAAAAACTTGAGTATACTGAATATAAAAATAAAATAAACTAATAAATACAATACATATAACCAATCATAATAAAGCTTTGATCTAATGCTGTATACATAATAATTAATATTTCTACGACCACAATGCATGCAAAACTGCGTAAAAGCCAACATATAATTATTTTTATACATTATATATATAGTATATATTATATATATAGCATAGTATATAAAAATATTTCTTTATATTTAAATCATTGTTATATATTTATAATTATCATATTTTAATACATAATTGTTTAAATAAAAGTGATATTCTCATGCGCTATAGAAAATAATCGGGTCTTTTTCATATAGAAATGCAAATAAGATTTGAAGATCGTTGATCTTTATTATTATATTAGGTAGTTTATAATAAGTGTTTATTACGATATATATCCACATATGTTACAGTTTTATGTACAAGGAATTCGCTATAAGCTAGAAAATGTAAGTAATTTTCTTTAAAAGAATGTATGGATGAAAACCCCCAAGAGGTTAAAAAGGAAACATTTAAAATAATAAAATCAAAAATATATAAAGAACAAAAGAGAAAAATTATTAAATATGAAAACAATTTTTATAAAGTTATTTGATTTAAAAAGAAAACTTTAACGAAAGTTTCAACTAAAAAAGAAACATTAAGTTATATAAAAAAATAAACTAAATTATTATGTAAAAAAAAAATATTTGTTCTTTTTTTTAATTACTAATTAATTTTATAAGTATAGTTTATATACAGAGTCAGTTTTTGCGCATAACATATATCGGCTAAAACATTCGTATGTTTATTTTTCTTAAATAATTATTTATATACTAATTTTTATTATATTCATGTTTTTCTCATTCATAAATATACATGTACATATAAATATAAATGCACATATGTACATACATACATACATACATATATACATGTACACATATATATGTATACATATATATATGTATGTATATATGTATAAATATATACATGTATACATATATGTATACATATATATGTTTTGTATATATATATATATATATACATATATATATATATATATTGGGTCATTTAAAAAGTATCCGCGGTTTTTTCATTCAAAAATTAAACAAAAAATCGCGGATATTTTTTAAATGACCTAATATATATACACAGAGTCCTGCGAGACTTTTCCAATCGCCCACAGAAAGGTAGATGGAATCAAAATAAACATAAAAATCCTTTACCGTTTAGCGATATTCGTAAAAATAATCGAGATATTAATGTTTGTAATTGTACTAATGAGAGCGCACCGATAGAAACGCTCCGGCCGCTCGAAGTATATAGCGCGTTGAAGAGATAACAGAGGAAGCGCTTAGCTATACTTCGAGCGGCCGGAGTATCTCTATTGGTGCGCTCTCAGTATAATTGTAAACATTACTCTCTCGATTATTATTACGAATATCGCTAAATAGTAAAGGACTTTTGTTTATTTAGGTCCCATCTACCTTCCTATGAGCGGTTGGAGAAGTCTCGCGGGACATCTTGTATATATACGATAGCATATATAAATCACTATAATTTATAGAAATTAAAAAATCACTATAATTTTATTTTTCTCTATTTTCTTAACCGTTATTAATTTTGTTTATTAGTCTAAAATTATTATAATAAAACATCTTTATTATAATTGCCTAATTTTGACATATTAATTGTATCCAATTTACACTTATATATAATTGAAGTTTAACCTCATTAAAAAAAAATAAATATTTATTAGAAACGCTTAAAATAAAATAATTCAACATAAATTATTTAAAAATTTAATAATTTGAAGTAATTCATTACACAGATTATGTAGAAGCTAGGAAGATAAAAAAATTAATTATATTTAAATCAAATTTACTATTACATTTTTAATATACATAAATATATGAGAAAATGTTATATACTCTGCATCCGCAATAAAACGGATCATTATAACGTTATACTAGCGTGCTTTTTTGCAGGTGAGTTTATATGTGATAATTTTAAGGCCTGACCTGCACTCATCATTCAGATTAATGACGTTAGAAGCAAAAAAAAATCATATAATAAAAATTCTTGAAAAAAAAAATTAAAATATAGAACTATTTTTCAATAAAATATTTGCATTTGATAAAATACACTCGTGAAATATATCGAAAATTCTTCTTTTACTTCGGAATAAATATAATCTATTTATT